CGGAAGTGATTCGAATCAAACACCAACAGGGCCTTGGACGCCCGGGCCACTACAGACTGAAGAATGTAGCGAGGATGTCACTCTTTCATGGTGAAGAATGGAGATGTTTATAAGCAAACCACCAAAGGATAACCAACGTGCTTACGTGACGAAGAACCGGTTAGTTTTCAGGCAAACTAGCAAAGAAACCGTTGAAGCTCTCGCCCGAGAGGGACCCCGTCAGGGCAAGGACATCGTCGGGTTGCCCTAGGTTGGCCGGCAAGCCTAGGGTGCCATCCTTGGTCGTTGGATCAAAGGATAAACAGCATGGGGGTTGGAGATGAGGGTAAAAGGGTTGGAGTAGAGGTAGTAGATTGATTTGTTTGATGATTGGATAGATGAGAACTCAATCGGCCATGATCCGCTTATATATATAGAGGGGGTGATCTTATCCCAGTAGGAAACCTCTCCAAGCCTTATTTTCCAAGTTTCCCATGAATTTGGAATAGTTCGGATCGGAATCCAAAAGGCTAGATCCGAATAGGATTTTCTATTAGGTATGTCGGAAGTCCCGACTTGGGTCGGAACTCCTGACAGTCGGAACTTCCGACTTTTGTCGGAACTCCCGACGTAGGGATAACCTCAGACACCCAAGCTGATTTCTTCAGGCTTACTGGAAGTCCCGACAACCGTCGGAACTTCCGACAGTCGGAAGTCCCGACTTGGGTCGGAACTCCCGACAACAAGACATCTTTCCGAGGGCATAACTTCTTCATCCGGACCTCGAATTAGATGTTCCATATATGTTTTTTGACCATCTCAACGAGAGGAACGCAATGGTGAAGTCTGTATCATATTTTTGGTTGTCAACAAGATGTCCCATCGACATGGCGGCCTGTATGAGGCCAAGGCAGTGATGCTGCCGCGGCTCATTCCGGCGGCCGGTCGACACAAGCAGGGATTCTCGAACTAGACCGTGTTTCAAGTGTGTGCGCCATGTGTTGCTATGCCGACTTGCTCTACTAGTCTACTACTAGTACTAACTTTGATGCAAGAGCAACGTTTCAATAGTACTCCGTATTTGCAGTTCATGATTTTCAATTTTACAGATCCGTGCCATGTGTTGAATTAACTCTACTCAAATAAAAGAGAATCTATATTTTTCCTAAGTCAAACTATGTTAGCCGACCAAAATTATATTAAAAAAGAATAATAGCTATGAATGAAATTAATACTATTGGGTACGTTATAAATTTACATATTAGATGTGATAGATATCAATACTCTTCTCAATGAATTTGCTCAAACTTTGTGCAGTTAGATTTAATACAAACTTGGATCCTTATACTTTAGGACAGAGAGAGTATGCTTTTAGAGTGCATCTCTTTAAAGTGCACGCCAAAAGTGGCGCTTAAGGGCATGTTTGGCAGAGTACCTTCTAGGTTGAATCTAGGAGGAGCTTCAAAAACGGGTTTTTAGTGAGAAATTGTTCTTTGAAATAAATTAGGGGCTGAGAGCTGAAAAAGTAGTTCTAATTCACTTCACGCACCGAATCGCCGTATGCATAGATTTTAATCTAGAGAAATATTTTCAGTTAGAGAATCTGAAGCAAGAGGAGCTCTACCAAATAGATCTAAGAGCGTTCCTAGATTTAGATTCTCCCTAGGAATCACTTCTACTCCCATCCATACCAAACTATAAGTCGTTTTGACTTTTGTAGATACATAATTTTTGCAATATTTACACATGGCCAATATCTAGGTGTATAGCAAAACTATCTGCCTAGAAAAGACAGAACGACTTACAATGACGGAGGGAGTACATGGCTAAATATGTAAAACACAATTAGATTCTAGTGAGGATATGACAAAAATTGTTTTCTCCATTTACACTGCGAGTTGGAAGCTAAAGAAACCCATTCACCATCCAACCCTTATTAGAATCACCTTTCATCTGTTCCACAAGAATCATTGTATTAGAGAATCAGGGAGCTCGAGTTAAGAACTAGTAAGTGAACCTCTACTAAATAGGTGCTTAGAGAATGATACAGTGACACGGTGGAACCAGGGCAAAAGCGCAGCACTTCATGGGCCTAAAAGTCTCACTTAAGTTTCCAAAGTAGACAAAATATAGTCCCTCCATCTCTGAATAAATCAATTCCTATAGTTATCCTAAGTCAAACTTTTTTATATTTGATCAAATTTATAGAAAAGATCATAATATTTGTGATATCAAATAAGTATATTGTAACAATAATATTTTATGATGTAGCTAATGATACTAATTTGGTTTTATAAATCTTCATGTTTTTTATAAATGTATTTAGTCAAATTTGAAAAGTTTAATTTAAAATAATTTTAGAAATTGATTTTTTTAGAATTGAAGAAGTTATTAAAAATGACACAGCGATGGTTGAACCAGGGTAAGAGTGCAACACTTGACAGGCGTTGAAAGTCGCGCTTAAGTTTCCATGTCAGAGAAAATATAAGAGCAAAGTCAATAATACAGCCAAGTGCTTGATTATAAGTCAAGCTATAAGAGCCAAGCTATACAATAGGTATCTCTTATTTGTCTTCAAAAAAGGTTCTCTTTCCTATTCCTCATCACATTATTTGCTATTTGGGCCCGTTGCTACGTATGCTTTCGTGCCCAGCTTGTTGCTTGCACGAGAGCCAAGCTCTCATCTCTCTCCACTCTTCTCTTCTCCTGGAAGGTTCGCTAGAGCAGTTGATGTGCTGGCCGTCCATGGAAAATCAGATGGCCAGGGAGTGCAGGAGACGTGGCGCGTTGTGGGAACAAAAAAATGAGGTACACAAATATGGGTAATGGTATATTACGTTGCGTTTTAACAAATATTAGAGAAATCTATGCTCAATTGCGTAACACCCTTTGTATTCCCTCATTCTCAAATTCACCAAAAAATTGATGTTTAAAAAAAATTACAATAAAACAAATTAAAATATGTTTGCTTGTTTACACACAAAACCATTTTCAAAAATATTTGTTAAAGCATCATTAAAAATTCACCATATACATTTTGGATTTTTGTGTTTTTCTTGAAATTTATTTGTGGCACAAAAATTCCTTCAACATGTATAGAGGGGTGGTCTTATCCCAGTAGAAAACATGTCCAAACGTGTTTTGCAAGTTTAGTACGTGAAACACAAGCCAGAACAGAGTCGACTCTAACCGATCTCGGAATACAAGAGAAAACCGTCCTAGCAGAAGCAGGTTTTGAAACCTTCCTCCTTGGGCCAGGTTCAGGTCGGCCCGACACTTAAAAAGGAACCGGCCTAGCTGGTTTGGGAAACCCGGTTAGGCCGATCGTGGCAGTCTATGTCCAAAATCTCCTTTTCTTCATTCGGGCTCCAATTTTGATGATCCAAACACCATCCTTGCTTATCTTGACGCTCGGAACTTGGTGATGGAGTTCATGTCCATGTTAGCATATAGAAACAGGTAATGCCAAGTTGACAACCAACATGCTTTGGAGTACACTAGTCTCGGCAAACAAAACGTTCTGAAAAGGCTATATTCTGCTCTCTACTGCAGCGTGCACGTTGGGCGGTGTGGTCACAGTGTCCCAATAGTAGACTCATTTAAGGCCAGCCGTCCCACCTCTGGCGACAAGGCCGTCGATGATGTCCGTGAGGATGGGGACGGCAGCGTCCTTGGACATGGTGCGTAGTGGGGACTGCTTGGTGGCTCCGCCGTTTTTTTTTAGAAAACTGGAGGGGCCTTAGCCCCTACAGAGATTTTGTTACGAATAAGAAGGTGCCAAAATTACAAAACAAAGAAAAGCAACGTGGGGCTGACGAATCGCATGGCCGACTAGAGCATGTCTAGCCTGCCGAAGTCACCCATGCTGCCGCTGACGTCCAGCACCACGACCAGGTCCAGCGCCGCCCTTCCTGCCGTGGAAGATGAGCTGCTCACGTCCAGCAGCACACGCACGGTGTTGGCTGCCAAGGGTGCCTCCTTCGGGTAGTGCGGCTTCACCAACGCTTTCCCCACGTCGCTCAAGCCACGCACTTGCTTCCCCGCAATGCATATAATGAGAGTTGCTATATATTATAAGTGTCTGTTTTCTCAGGATTTTAGACAACAAATTTTGGACACAGGTGAAGTAGAAGAGGAAAAGAGGGAGAAGAGAAAAACAGGAAGAAGAGATGATGAGAGAGGTGGATTATTGGGCCACGTCCGATTGGCCACGTGGGATGTCGGCCTTCCAACGGCCGATAGGTGGCGAACTGGGTCCACACCGGCGTGGCGTACGCGTAGAGGCTGTGCGGGGGTGGTCTTATCCCAGTAGAAAACATGTCCAAACGTGTTTTGCAAGTTTAGTACGTGAAACACAAGCCAGAACAGAGTCGACTCTAACCGATCTCGGAATACAAGAGAAAACCGTCCTAGCAGAAGTAGGTTTTGAAACCGACCTCCTTGGGCCAGGTTCAGGTCGGCCCGACACTTAAAAAGGAACCGGCCTAGCTGGTTTGGGAAACCCGGTTAGGCCGATTGTGGCAATCTATGTCCAAAATCTCTTTTTCGTCATTCGGGCTCCGATTTTGATGATCCAAACACCATCCTTGCTTATCTTGACGCTCGGAACCTGGTGATGGAGTTCATGTCCATGCTAGCATATAGAAACGGGTGATGCCAAGCTGACAACCAACATGCTTTGGAGTACACTAGTCTCGGCACACAAAACGTTCTGAAAAGGCTATATTCTGCTCTCTGCTGCAGCGTGCACGTTGGGCGGTGTGGTTACGGTGTCCCAATAGTAGACTCATTTAAGGCCAGCCGTCCCGCCTCTGGCGACAAGGCCGTCGACGATGTCCGTGAGGACGGGGACGGCGGTGTCCTCGGACATGGCGCGTAGTGGGGACTGCCTGTTGGCTCCGCCGTTTTTTTTAGAAAACTGGAGGGGCCTTGGCCCCTACAGTGATTTTGTTACGAATAAGAAGGTGTCAAAATTACAAAACAAAGCAAAGCAACGTGCAGCTGACGAATCGCATGGCCAACTAGAGCATGTCTAGCCTGCCGAAGTCACCCATGCTGCCGCTGACGTCCAGCACCACGACCAGGTCCAGCGCCGCCCTTCCTGCCGTGGAAGATGAGCTGCTCACGTCCAGCAGCACACGCACGGTGTTGGCTGCCAAGGGTGCCTCCTTCGGGTAGTACGGCTTCACCGACGCTTTCCCCACGTCGCTGAAGCCACACACTTGCTTCCCTGCACAACATATAATGAGAGTTGCTATATATTTTAAGTGTCTGTTTTCTCAGGATTTTAGACAACAAATTTTGGACACAGGTGAAGTAGAAGAGGAAAAGAGGGAGAAGAGAAAAACTTGAAGAAGAGATGATGAGAGAGGTGGATTATTGGGCTGCGTCCTGACTGCATGGGGATGGATGTACTTGCTGTAGAAAAAAAAGGGAACGTGTGCATATCTCCTGATTCTTAACAAATGAAAACATTTACAGTTTTACAGCAACAGTCGATCGATCTCTGAACCTGAAGTAACGCGCGCATGATGCATCTACCTGCATTCGAAGCAGGAACGATAGGCTCCTCATCGTCGTTGAACATCTTGTTGGGCGCCGACGACTTCCTGGCTTCCTGCTGCGACACTGGCAGCTCTAAGCAGCAGGCAGCTCGGGATCTGCAGGTTCACAGCTTGGTAGCACCAGTAATGGCTGCACATATATATATATATATATATATATATATATATATCACGACGTTTTTTTGGTTTTTGTATGCTGATAGGGCTCATTTTTTGTTCTTTGATAGACAATAAACATTTACCTCCTGACTTGATCCTACTCTAGTTACGACAGTCTTAATTTTCAATATCTTTTGTCTGACATGGAAACTCAAACGCGACTTCCGGTGCCTGTGAACGAAGTGTTGCACTTCTCTGTTCCCACCGTACCATCACTACGTCATTTTCTTCTACTCCTATCCTAAAATATTTAATGTTTTAAGTTGGACAGAGAGATTATATAGAAGTGAAAAGCTATATGGACTTCGAGTCTTCGACCCGCTCACGAGAAAAAAACAATGAAAAGGTATAGCACATAGAAAATAAAAAGAAGGGAGATAAAGAGAAATAGAGGTAGAGATGTATTAGGAAAAATATACTAAGAGAAGAAAAGATATATTAAGAAATGATATTTTAAATATTTTACAAAAAAAATAAATCGATCAAATATTTTGGAACAGAATGAGTACTATATTTTTTCTTGAAATTCAGGCACAATTTCCGAGCCTGTGAAGCGTTGCACTTCTGCTTTGGTTCCACCATAATTGATCAATATGTTATTTTCCAGTTTTTTTTTTGTTTCACACAAGAACTCAAGCAATCAAGCACAACATTCGACATGCTCTTTAAGGCCGGTCTCAGTAACGAGTTTTATGGCATTGTTTCCCTCAAAAATATAGAATAAAATAAAACAAGGATGATACATTCATTTTCAATGGAAAGTTTCATATATAGACATTTAACTTCATGGCTCATAGTCATAGAGAATTGGTAATTGTATCAAGAGAGTTTCATCTCCATGAAACCTACTTTTTCTTTCTCTTCTTAAAAACATTATCACATCATACAAAACTTTTATATAGTAACTTGTTAAATGTAAATGAAATTCTGATGAAACTTTCAATAAAACTGGTCTAAGGGCCGGATAGGAATGGGAGGTGAGGTCAACGCGGGCAGGTGGACACGATTGATGACAGAGATAGACATATACTGTATACATTTACCTCTTGTCCTGCTATAACACAATGGCCTAGCCAGTCCAACCATCACCGCGTCATTTTGAAATATATTTTGTCTGTTATAGAAAATTAATTGCCCTGGTTCTATCGTCACCGTGTCATTTTTTAAGAGCCTGTGCTTTCACTCTGGTTTCATCACCATGTCATTTTCTAAGGGCCTCTTTGATAGTAGATAGGGCTCATCTTTTGTTCTTTGATACACAAATAAACATTTACCTCCTGCCTTGGTCCTACACTACGACCGTCTTATTTTTCAATATCTTTTCTCTAACATAGAAACTCAAACGTGACCTGGCGCCTGGCAGTGCCCACGAAGTGCTGCTTCATTTTCTACTCTCTCCATTTTAAATTTATAAGTCATTACTTTTCTAAATACATTGTTTCTAGATGCATAATAAAACGATGTATCTAGAAAACCAGAGCGACTTATAATTTAAAACAGAAGAATAATATTTTATATGGCATACAAGTACAGCTACACTTTTGCTCTGATTGCACCATCACTGTGTAAGTTTCCCCATGCTGAACTCAATTGCGATTTTGGTGTGAACTTGGTTAATTTTATTATGGTAAAACATGCCTACATAAGTTTAATAAGTCCTAGATTTAATATGGATGTTCTATGCGATGACTTCATCAATTCAAGAAATGGTGTGTATGCTTGCATTGTGGTGTTCAAAGAAATAGAATATGCACACGTGCGTTTATTATAGAGGTGAGTGTACGTGTCTGTGTGTACAAGGTCTGAAAAAAAATGTGATTTTGGGTAGGTGAGATCAACACGGGCAGGTGGATGACCATGGGGTCGGTCACGGAAGGTTGGAGGGGTAGTTTTTTTTATGCTAATAGGAGGGACACATTTAACATTTTTATTCCTTGACTTGACTTGACAGGCATAAACATTTACCTCTCGTCTTGCTCCCACAATGACCGTCTTATTTTTCAATATCTTTTGTCTGTCGTGCAAACTATTATGGACTAACCACGACAGCATGCTTGGTTTACATCATGTTTGGAATCATCTGATTTAAAATCCAAGCCTAGTTGAGATATTTGGTTTGCATCGCATCATCAACTCATCCGTCGTAGAACTGTTCCGGTGCAACGTTTCCTAGAACCAACAACCAACTAATCTCTGGAGTGAAGTCGTTCCGCAAAAACCGTCGACGAGTTATTTCTTTTTGATGCCTGACCAGCAGTCCATGCAAAATGGATTCACGTTCCGAATCAAATATAAAATAGTTAGTAGCTTTAAGACAACTTATCCAACAATATTATTTTTTAGCATATACTTTTTAAATATTACTGTAGCGAAGTTTTCATCATGCTAGCTAGGTGTAAGCTAACAGTGGTGTTTCTCGATCTGACATGGAAACTTAAGCGCGACCTTCGACGCCTGTCAAGTGTTGGCACTTTTAACCTGGTTCAACCATCGCTGTGTCATTTTTAATAATTTCTCATTTCTAAATAAATCAATTTCAATATTATTTTAAATTAAACTTTTCAAATTTGACTAAATTCATTTGTAGAAAAAGCATGAAGATTTATAAAACCGAATTAGTATCATCAGCTACATTATAAAATATATTATTATATTACAATATAATTATTCGATATCATAGATATTGTGATCTTTTCTATAAATTCGATCAAATATATAAAAAACTTTGACTTAGGATAATTGTAGGAATTGATTTATTCAAAGATGGAGGAATTATATTTTTTATCTACTATGGAAACTTAAGTGAGACTTTTAGGCCCATGAAGTGATACGCTTTTGCCCTGGTTCGCTGTATCATTTTCTAAGCACGTGTTTAGTAGAGGTTCACTTACTAATTCTTAACTTGAGCTCCCTGATTCTATGATATAATGGTTCTGGTGGAAGAGCAGAGCAGATGAAAGGTGGTTCTGATAAGGGTTGGATGGAGAATGAGTTTCTTTAGCTTCCAACTCGCAGATGGAGAAACATTTTTTGTTATATCCTCACTAAAATTGAATTGTGTTATACATATTTAGCCGTCTACTCCCTCCTTTTTAAATTGTAAGTCGTCTGTCTTTTCTAGGTAGATAGCTTTTGTTATACACCTAGATATATTACAAAAGTTATGTATCTAGAAAAGTCAAAACAACTTATAATTTGGTATGGATGGGAGTAGAAGCGATTCCTAGGGAGAATCTAAATCTAGGAGCGCTCTCAAATCTATTTGGTAGAGCTTCTCTTGCTTCAGATTCTCTAATTGAAAATGTTTCTTAGAATAAACTCTATGCATACAGCGATTCGGTGCTCGAAGTGAATTAGAAGAAACTACTTTTTCAACTCTCAGCCCCTAGTTTATTTCAGAGAACAATTTCTCAATAAAAAACCGTTTGGTAGAGCTCCTCCTGGATTCAACCTAGAAGGTAATCTGCCAAACATGCCCTTAAGCGCTACTTTTGGCGTGCCCTTTAAAGAGATGCACTCTAAAAGCGTACTCTCTCTGTCCTAAAGTATAAGGATCCAAGTTTGTATTAAATCTAACTACACAAAGTTTGAGCTCATTGAGAAGAGTATTGATATCTCACATCTAATATGTAAATTTATAACGTACCCAATAATATTAATTTGATTCATAACTATTAATCTTTTTTAATATAATTTTGGTCGGTTAACATAGTTTGACTTAGGAAAAATATAGATTCTCTTTTATTTGAGTAGAGTTAATTCAACAGATGGCACGGATCTGCAAAATTGAAAATTCTGAACTGCAAATACGGAGTACTATTGAAATGTTGCTCTTGCATCGAAGTTAGTACTAGTAGTGGACTAGTAGAGCAAGTTGGCACAGCAACACATGGCGCACACACTTGAAACACGGTCCAGTTCGAGAATCCCTGCTTGTATCGACCGACCGCCGGAATGAGCCGCGGCAGCATCGCTGCCTTCGCCTCGTACAGACCGCCATGTCGGTGGGACATCTTCTCGTGCCCGATCCCGTGGGCCGATGGTGGCAGTGATGAGGTGCACCTCTCCGACGGCGTCTCCTACAAACACAACGGCCGGCCTATCCCGGCGGCGGCTCTCAGGGCGCTCATCGACAAGAAACCCGAGCTCGCCGCCGAGTGTGGCGCCACCGGCCTCGTGTTCGGGCCTGGATACGCTGCACGTGGCTCTACGCTTCGACGACAAGGTGAAGGTACTGAGCCTGGCAGACATCTACGGCGCCAACGCCTTCGGCGGGATGCGCATGGAGGACAGTGGCTGTTTCGGCGGTGGCTTGGCTCCCGATGCCACCGACGACCCTTGCATCGTCTACGTCTCCACCAAGAAGCCGGTTGAGAAGCGGCGCACCCCATGGACGGTGGTGTACCGGACCAACCTCAGGACCGGCGAGACGGATCGGAGACGCTTACTCCAGACGGGGAGTACGATCTGAGCCCGGCCGTGTCACCGTCGGGGAAGAGGGTGGCCGTGGCCAACTTTAGCGACAACAGATGGAGCGGCGAGATCGAGCACCTCAAGACCGACATCGTTCTGATAAACGTTGACCGGAACGCGCAGGGCGGCAAGCCGCTGGACGACCGGGCAAGGTGCATCCAGGACGCCGGCTGGCCGTCGTGGGCAGCGACAACGTCATCTTCTTCCACAGGAAGGTCGGTGGACACGAAAGACGACCCCAAGAATAGCGACAGGCTCACGCCGCACTGGGGCGTGTACCGCTACGACATCGCCGCTGGGCGCACCGAGCGCATCACGCCATGACTTCGGCGGCCATCAGCGAGACCAAGGTGGCCGTGGCCACCATCGGCCAGAGAACCAACCAGATGGG